CTTGCTGTAAAGAACTTTAAAAAAAGGAAAGTTGTTACACGAAATTTACCTATATAGTCTCAATTTCTCAAGTGTATAACAAAATTCGGAATTTTTAAAATGCCAAGGCTCAGCAAATTTTCAGTTTAAGAAAAAACCAGCCGATAAGTTTTGAAGCTTTGGTCATGAAAAATAAAACTTATTATTATTGGTTAAATGATATAATTATTTTTTGTTTTAGTATTTTGATAAGCAATTAATGATTATAGATGATCTGCACCGTACGTGAATTGCAAATTCACAGATTTCATTTTCACGCACGCACAACATGGGATAAACAAAATATTTGTTGTTGTACAAATTATCAAAAAAAATTTTGTAACCAGTTCCATATGTTTAAATGTGTGAGTTCATTCCCACAATAACAGCCGTTCATGTTTCGAAGCCCGTTAAGCAGTCATAGGAACTGGTTTTTCGGGCATACCACTGCAATAATAAATCTTTTGTAAAAAAATCTAATACAATTTTTTCACCTCAATTCTTGATAAAAAGCTTACAACTGAGAACGCAATGTTAGCTTTTGCTACGCGAGAACAAAAATTCATTCATTTTAAGTTGGGTTTGGATTGCATCTTCTTTGTTGCAAAAAGCAAAAAAATAACATTATTCAGGCCATGACATTAGACTATTTTATTGTTGTGTGTGAAAATGAAATCTATGTGAATTTGCAATTCACGTATGCGAAATTCAAACCAAATCAGAATTTCATATCCAAACATCCCGCTCCCCAAAATTTTAATTATAAATTTCGATTTCACATACAACGTTATTATCATCTTAATCTTCCTCAATGATGTTTGCTACTTGTTATTATGTTACAACCGGTTGCAACCGGTTGTAATTGATTAACTTCTAGCCCCTAGTATTACTAAATTTCGTATAACCAAGCGATTAAATGAAACATCTATATTAATATTAATTAACAATAATAATAATAAATGTTAAATTTTTTTAAAAAAATTTTTTGTCAAAATGTCTAATAATAACAGTTTCTTGTCCTTGGAAAGTATTACACTCATTAACAATATTATCATTAACAATGACAATGCGTTACCATTAAAATATTTTATCAAGATATTAAGTGATTTGACAATTTTGTTGAATAGTTCAAATTATTATGATGTAGAAATCAAAGTTGGAAAAGAAGACGATGTTAAAATTTTTAAAGCTCATTCTACCATTTTAAAAGCAAGGTGTTTGTATTTTAAAACGGTTTTATCTGAAAAATCTGATAATGAAAATATTTTATTTGAAAAAGAAAATATTTCCCCCAAAATTTTTGAAATTCTTTTAAAGTAAGTTGATTTGGTTATCAATGAAATAAAATGATCAAGTATTTAAGTAATTAAATTGTTAATATTTACCTAAATTAAATTTTTTTTTTTAAAGTTACATTTACAATGGAATTATTGATATAAAGAATCTGGACGCAAATGAAATTTTAGAACTTCTTGAAGCATGTGATGACTTAAAATTTGACGAATTGATTGATGACTTGCAAAATTATTTAATCAATGAAAAAAATGAATGGATTCATCGAAATTTAATTTATGTTTACAAGATTTCATCAAAACATCAATCGTTCAGCTTGCTTCAAGATCACTGCAATAAATTAGTTTATGAAGACCCAGAATCAATTTTAAAATCTAGTAATGTTGAAAAAATTGAAAAACCAATGCTTGTTTCTATATTGGAAAGAGATGATTTAAAATTGGATGAGATTAATATTTGGGATCATGTCATTCAATGGGGAATAGGTCAAAAGAAAGAAACATTGGAAAAAAATGTTTCGGTATGGAGTAAAGATGATTTCAAAGAATTGAAAAATATGTTAAAAGATATTATTCCATTAATAAGATTCAGCGAAATATCTAAAGGAGATTTTTATAACAAAGTCATCCCATATAAAAAGGCTTTTGATAAAGAAGTATACAAAGAAATTCATGAATATTACTTTATTGATAATTGGCAACCAAAATTACTTGTTCGAAAGGGTCCAAGAGCAAGAATTGAAAAAAGAAAACCATTAGATTTAAATTTAAGAACTTTAATTTCTGGTTGGGTTGATCAAAATAATTGCGATTATAATGAAAGTAATATTCCATATGATTTTGAGTTGATCCTTTGTGGAACTCAAGATGGCTTTTCAAGGGAGGTTTTTGAGAAGAAATGTTACAACATTGAACAAACTGTAGTGTTGATGAAAATAAAAGAAACAGGCGAAGTAGTAGGTGGTTATAATCCAGTTTGTTGGAATATACAAGGGAAATCTTCAAATGAAGGTTATTATATTGAAACTATTAAAACGGATAAAAGTTTTATTTTTAAAATTGATGAAAATCAACTTGGTAATTCAATATTAAGTAGAGTCAAAATTCCTGGATATGCAAATAGCAGTGCTAGTCAACCTATTAATAGGACAATAAATAATATAAGTTTTCATGAAATATCTATAAATTTTCGTGATTTGGTACTAACTAATAGTGTTAATAATGGACCTTATTGTTGTTATTTTTATAATGAATATGCTTATGAAAATAATTTGAATCTTAAGGATGATGATAAGAGTGTTCAGCCGTTAGAAGAATATGAAGTGTATAAATTAGTAAAGAAAAATTAATTAATTTATTATTATTATATTTATTATATATATATTAATTTTATTCTAATAAATAATAATTTTATTTATCATTTTTATTTTAAAAACTAAAAACTTTCGAATAAATTTATATACTGTAGAATTGTTAAACCTCCACATTTACATCATTTACATGATAGTAATAGATGTGGTTGGATATGATTTATATGTTTGTAGCAATATGTTTATTACATTGCCTTTTATTTACTTTTTAACTTTTAAATTTTGTAAAAAAAAAAAAAAACGGTTAATAGAAAATTAGAAGCTTAAAATTTTATTTAAGTTTCTGAATGATACAATAGTCCATGTAAACATGGTACGTTACAAAGAATAATGTTGAAAAGAGGATGCCTAAAAATGTTGCTGAATTGAAGTAATTTATGGCCGAAGAATTCCTCTGGAGACACTTAAAAACATTATTATTTCTTTTTTGTATTATGTCATTAATAAAGTGTGCTCAACTTGACGAAGTACATTATATTTGTAATATAGTGTCAGCGTAAATCAATTTGTGAAAAGGTTCAAGAAGCATCCAACCATTCCAATAATTTTTTGAAAAATCAAATTTTCGATTTTTGTTTGCGAGATCAATTCTGTAACAGTTTCTTTTTACAATGGATTTTCTTGCTGAAAACAGAAGGACTATTATAGAGAGAGTGAACTGTACTTTATTTTTTATTACATCGTTCATTCAAGAACTTTAAAGAAAAGGAGTACACCTTCACAGATCCTGTATTATTTCATTTTTTCTCAGGCAAGATAACAAATAATGATGTTCTTAAATAATAAATTATACAAGCATGATATTTGTGACAAAAATAATCAATTGTGAAAATGTAATGATGATTGCTCATTTTGAAATTAATGGTAATCGTGTTTCACGTCAACAATTTCCTCTCCAGAATTCATTTGCACAAAATGGAAGGACTAGCTCTATTGCATGCTACTTTCAGTGTAAATGAAACAATATTTGCAGAGAATCAAGTTTATGTGGCAATGAGTAGAGTATCTTTATAGATATATTATCTGTTGGTTACTGGTAAAAATCCCATTGTTGTTATAAAAAATACAACAGGTTAAATCATATGCGTTAGATTACAAGTTTTTATTATAGAAGGTAGTTTTTTCCTTCAAGTTACATTCATTTGTTCTAGAATACAAATTATAGATCATGCCATATACACTTTTATAGGAGAACCGATAGCGAATGGTTACTATATTATTACCAAGCAACCAAGAGGAGGTTTTTTATTTGTTATTTATTATTTATTTATATCATTATATCATTTATTCTGCTTTTTAAAGCATAAACACATAAAAAAATTAAAACTCAAAACGCAAGAATGGCAATAACGACGACGATTATAAATAACTAATAGAAACGATACATAAAATAAGTATCTCACGTATTTTGTAACTGAAAATATATATAAATACGAGAATACACATGTATTTTATAATCATCTATTAATATGTAACATCTTTCTTTATGATTATTTTGACTATTTTCTCTAAAATAATTTTTAATTAAATCAAAATGAATTAGAATGAACACCATATCAATCCTATACATAATGATGTCTGATGGACTTATTTTGTTTATATATATATATTGTCTAATATGGGGCTGTTGTATGTGAAATCGAAATTTATACAACAAATAGCTTTGGTGTCAATGATTGAATCAATCGCACAAGTAGTAGTCAATTTAAGCAACATTGTTTTTAAAAAATTTATTCAAATTAGTTTCTCATAATTATACTGTTAATATTTTGCGCTAATATTAATGTTTTTCGCAGTTGTTATTATTACTTGAGATTTTTTTTATTCCCTAAAAATATGTTTATAGAAGCAACAAAATTCAGCTGAATCATAAAGAAAAATATGAATGGAAATTGATTTAATTGATTATATCTATATCTTGTCTTGGGTATTATAGAACAGTATTGGCATAAATCCAAATATATTAATTAGATATTGTGCCTTTACTCATAAAGCTGTTATACGCGATAAAACAGTCTGAGAATTTACGTGAATTTGAAACTTAAAGGCTTTGGGAGATGTTATTATTATTGAAAAGATTTTAGTATATTTGATGGAAAATTTTCTTCATTTAATAGTAATAAAAATATAATAATAACAAACAATAAATAATAGATAATAGATGATGATAAATGACCCTTATAATAATAAAAATAAAAATATAATAATAACAAATAACAAATGATTGATAATAGATGATTAATAGCCCTTATAATATATCAAAAATCGTTAAAAAAATGCTCATGATAAATAATAAAATTAATAATTCAGTAGGCAATTATTATTTATTATTTCCACGTCTTAACTTGTTGAAATTTTGTTCTAGTTCAAAATAATGCTGATCGATCTTCATCTTATAATTTTTAATCATCAACATATGATGTGAAATAGCAATTAAAGGGTCTTCGTTAAAGTTAGGATTGAGATTTAAATTATAATGTTGATGGTGACCATTATTGATTGAAGGTGAAGATGATCTGGGCGAGTCCTCTTCAATATAAACTAATTGATGGTAATGTTGTGGTGGTGGTTGTGGTAAAGATTGTACTCTAAACAAGTCATTATCGTTATCAGTTATTTTTTTAAATGGTAAATTTGTTGTAATAATCGATGATGAATTATCAAAAGGCATAATACTTTGATCAAGATTTTGGGTTTGTTGAAACTGTTGTTGTCGGGCATGTTGTCGAAGTTGCTGTTGTTCAACTGGATTCTGAATGCGTTGGACATAAGGTTGCAGTGGTGGTTGATCATAATTTCGTTGACCAATTTGTTGATTGAAATTTTGTTGTTGCTGAAGTATTTGTTGAGGTTTTTGATCATAAATTTGTTGCTGTTGAGACTGCAGACCGAAATTTTGAAATTGTTCATCAGGAATTTGTTGATAATTTTGCTGTTGTTGTTGAGACATTTTTGTTTTATGTAATAATATGTATTTATATTGTATGGTTAAATCTTTTTTTTTTTATAAAAATAAAAAGAAAAAAGAAATTTAAAATTTAATGAATATAAAACTGCTAGCATTTTTATTATATATTTGTTAAATCAGGCGTTGCATCTTGGTATTACAAAATAGAAAAGAATTTAAAAGATATTGAGAATATTATTGGTGCAAAGACAAACAAACAATTGTGGAAAATATCTGAAATTGGAATTTCTAAATAGAACCCATATATATAGAACGTCATTTAATTTCGTAAAGATATTAAAAAAAGGTCATCTAATTCCCTTTATGTTATAGTTTAAAAAAAAACCAAATTAGGTCAGAGAAAGATATTTGTTGACACAATCGCATTCAATAAATGAAATTTATGAAAAAATGGCACCGGGTTTTTCTATAATGTCTTTTAAACGTTCATACTCTCTAACCGTCAATTGATGGATCAAACGCAGATGCTTTTTTTCAAAGAGAACTAGTTATTAGACAACAACTGAGAGCAGCATAAGTCCTATTTCTGAAGCAAAGATTTGTTGATAATACTCTAGGCAAAATTTCATTAAACATACCTGAACTTGATTATATTATTTCTTCGATAGCATGCGTTGATCAATCAGAGATAGTGTCGTCCTTCAAAACTATTTTGAAGAAGCGAAAGTCGAAACTAAAATCAAAAGTCAAAAAATCAAAAAGTCAAACTAGTTTCGAACTTTTTGACTTTTGCACAGTTGCGAAGTTCTCTAGTTTTGGAAATCAGTGAAATAACTGTTTGAATATAAAAATAAAAGATTGGACTGCAAAATTCAAATCCATTGTTATTTTCTGAGACTGAGGTACTACACCACCCCTGTTGTTGGTACTTTGAATTCTCAAATCGATCGGCTTGGGAACTTCTATCTTTGTTTCCATGGGAGCCTTATTTTTTCTTTTCGTGATGAGCTGTTGATCACTGGTTATGATTAAAAAAGAATGGAATATAGTATTAATATACATTAAGTTAAACTGCAGCATAATAATATACACTAAACAATTAGTCATTATTAGTTAATTTACTAAATTAAGGAGTTTTCCAAACTTCAAATTATACATTTTTGTTTTATAGAAAAGAAACAATAAAAACATATAATGATTATCACAAGAAAGAAAAACGAACCACAATAAATTAATAAAGCTATATAATGCAATTATCGGAAAAAAAGAGGCGAATATGTATGTAATGAAATTCACAGTAACATATTAGTTAATTCTGATGAAAAGAGTAGAAAAGATTATTTTTTTTCATTAGTCAAAGAATCATGCAGTTATCCGCAAAATTCTATCGGTTCACAAAAAAATATCCGCAAATTAAATGTAAACAATTTTCACTCTCCAAGTAAAAACATTCATGTATGAGTACATTGAGAGCTTCCAGAAAATATGGCATGTATGAGATTTTGTGAAGGTGGAAGTAATTAAAGGCAAAAATCGTTTTTATAAGTAATTTACAATAGTATAACTTATTTTCTTTTCAATAATTTCTATATATACAAATTATCAATGATTAGGAAATATAAGCAAGCACAACAATATATAGGATAAACTTTGTTAAAATGTATGCATATATATATAAGATTACAAGAGATATTTTATTTTATTTAATAATTATTATTAATGAAATTACAAAATGAGATTGTTACTACCTATTTATAAAAACTTCTAAAGTTTTTATTTTGTTATTTTCTTTATATCTGCTAAAGAAAGGGTTCATTAATTAAAGAAAGAAATCATTAAATCTAATCCCTGCAAAGAGAATTTATTTTCATTATTCATGCCTTTTTATTAATATCTATTAATATTATCATTGTTAATACTGTTACCGGAATTAGATTCTGACGAAGATATTTTGGACGAATCTAATAATCCCGGGTCAAATTAATTCTATTTCAATTTTTATATATTTTTAATTTCATTTATCCTATTCTTATATTTATCTTTATTTTTTTTTATCAATTTATTATTATCGTTTATACTTGTGTTACGTTTCGTATAATCATTTTATTATTAATGACGATGCGCCCATAAACCCAAATGGGCTTATAATTAATTGACATGTATATAAAGAATTCGAATTTGACCTACTGTAAAAATAAGTTAATTAGTTTCGACTAAGGAAATAGCTTTTCTCATAAGTTAATTAGTTTCGAATAAGGAAATAACTTTTCTCATAAGTTAATTAGTTTCGACTAAGGAAATAATTTTTCTCATAAGTTAATTAGTTTCGAATAAGGAAAACTTTCTAACAAGTTAATTAGTTTCGACTAAGAAAACTAAATAAATAAAATAAATATTTTATTTAAACTATTATCTCAATTCGTTGATCCCTATTCATTCTGGTCCACACAAAATAATTGATATCACCAATTAAAAATACGCTCTCCCAAAATCAATCGGAGACAATACTTAAAAAAAAAGTGAATTAATTTTTTGTTATTCATACTCTTATAGATATCTGAAAACAAGAGAATTAATTTTTGTTATTCACACTCTCTCTTATTGTCACCCATATATTAATGTTATCTAAAACAAAGAGAATTAATTTTTTGTTATTCATGCTCTCTTATTATTACCTATATATTAATATTATTATCATTGATATCGGAATTAATAAACCATGGATGACAGGTGATGATAACAATACTATAAAAATTTTGGTATGGAAAACTGTACGGAATTTGTGTGAAATGTTTTATAGGGCCTAGTAACCAGATATCCCACCACTTCTCTTCTGCACCCTCTGAGTATCATCTAAGATCTGTGGAACTGATGCACTTGCTAAACAAGAAAATTGACATTGAAAGTGATGAGTGGAGTGGTGAGGGCAATTAATCTTTGCTGTAATGAGTTAGATTCATCATTAAGATTTTGAGCATCTTGAACTTCTGGTGAGGTTTCATTTAAAGAATACTTTCAAAGCAATATTCCTTTTTTTACTTCCTCCTCATAAATTATTTATTTTTAGTATGGGTTAGGAACTAACACTATTTAAAGATGATGGATTTGATGATAATTTTCTAGGTTTAAAGTAGGACCACAAATATAACAATCATGATTGTTGTGCCCTTTTAATTCCGGATCAATAAGCATAGTTTTTTGATAAATGAAATAAGTGAGTTGATCTGATAAATAAAAGGAAAATAGATTTATCTCTAGTTCAGGATTAATTCAGCCAATTAATTAATTTCAAAGAAAGTCAATCAAAATCTTCTATGCCATTAATGAATTGAATGGAAATGGTGGTGTGATACAAATTTATTGTCAACACTTGAGTTAACATTTACAAATTGAAGCTGACTACCATCTGACATTTCAAATATAATTTTTATTTTTAATTAATTATGACAAAAACATTTCATCAGGTATCATTTAATCATGACATCATCAATGACACATTTTGACATTTAACTTTAGTAATTGCCAATTAGTTGTCATTTATCATTCTATTTTATTTTATTTATTTTATTTGACAAAACCATGTAAAAAGTCATGTTATTTGTAATACTTCAAGATGTATAAATATGCTTGAAATCTTCTCCAGTGAAAAAATAATTGATCTTTCAATAATAACACTTTCATTAATTGATTCATAACTCTTTCTGATGATTAATGGTTTGGCCAACATTTAATTATTAATTAGGATCCCCTTTTATTGGTTTTACTATATTGCTTGTAGGGACGCCTCAAGTAATGTAGTTGTATATGGTGATTTTAATTAGTTTGAACATTATTAGATGTGTGCCAGATTTAGTGACTCTGTAATAGAGTAGAATTTATATTCGTAATACAAATTTTTGTTCAAATTATTCAAATCATTCATTTGTTCAAATCATTCAAATCATTATTTATTCGAATTATCATCATTCGTTTATTATTCGAATTATCATCATTTGTTTATTCGGATTGTTATTATTCGTAATTATTCAAATCCTTGTCATTCGTTTATTTGAATTGTTATCATTCGTAATTATTCGAATTCTTGTCATTAGTTTATTTTAATTGTTATCATTCGTTTATTATTCGAATTGTTGTCATTCGTTAATTTGAATTAACATCATTCGTTTATTATTCGAATTGTTATCATTCGTTTATTCAAACTAATCATTTATTTGAATGATTTTGCTTTCCTCCCTTTGGATTTTGATTGTTTGATACATTTTTATTCAAATTATTCGTTCTATTCAACTTATTCATTTTATTTTATTTCAAATTATTTTATTTTATTTGAATATTCATTTTTATTCGTTTTATTTTGAATTATTCGTTTTATTTGAATTGTTTGTTTTTATTTTGAATTATTATTATTCATTTTTATTCGTTTTATTTCGAACTACTTGTTTTATTCGAAATATTCAAACTATTTTGAATTATTCGAACTATTCATTTATTCGAATCATTCATTTATTTGTTTTATTCAAATTGTTTATTCGTTTTATCTAGTTGAATTATCGAATTATTTGTTATTCATTTTATTCAAATAAACTTCTAATTTAATTCGAATACTCAATTCATAATAATAACGAGTAAAACAAATAATTCGAATAAACCCTATTCAAATAGAAACCCTAATCAGTATAGTTGTATATAGTGATTTTAATTTAGTTTGCCATATTTGGTGACTCTAATAACTCAGATCACATGCTTGCAATATTTATTACAGTTTTACGGTTTATGGCTTTAACGACTTTAGGGTGCGCGCCGAATTTATTTACGTAATGCTGAATAATTGTAATTCGGGTAAAATTTAACAGAAAATCTAATACTAAATATATTAATATTTTGTGTGATACATATTTGTGGCTGACAAATTTATACAAAAACCACGATGGAAAACACTTTGAATGAAAACAAACATCATGATGATACTTCTACTGACAAAAATGATGAATATTCAAAGAAAAGAGATGAAGAATATGGGGAATGTACAATTTGCAATAGAT